AATTAATATATACCGGGTGTCGGAAAAGCTGACTGGTCTAAATGTGGGATGTCAAAATTGCATTTGAAATAATACTATGCAGCAAAATTTGACAACTGTATGAACTGTGTGAGCATTTTAACATATTATACTCTTTCACGTTTCATGAAATCGCGTTAATTCTCTAAGTAATAATCTATATAGGTATAAAGACGCGAATCAAAGTGTTTGTACACCTTTTTAAACAATTTTATTATGGTGTGGTATGAATAAACGTTAAGCGAAGCATATTACATTTTGAATACTCCATGTTTATAGTTATAGGAATAAATTATATATATATATATATTTACTAGCTGACCCGGCAAACGTTGTTTTGCCATATATATACGTTATTTCATTTTTTTTTGTAAAAAATAAATTAGGGTTATGTAAAACAGATATTGGCCGATTCTCAGACCTACCCGATATGCACCCAAAATTTCACGAAAATCGGTCGTGCCGTTTCGGAGGAGTTCAACCACGCACACCGTGACACGAGAATTTTATATACGTATATTAGATAAAGTTATAGGAGTCCAGTATATATTGTGACCTGTTACGGTATAAAAGTCTATACAATGACATTTCAAGTTATACTCTTGAAGGGAAATTGAAAAATTTAAATATCGACTGCCAAGCGATCTTTAGTTATATATATATATACTGGACAAAGGATTTAAAATAAAATTAGATTTTTTGTATTTGTATGTTTCATAAATGACAAATTCACTTTTATTTTACTACGCAAAGAGTACCTAGTCTCGTTTTTTAAGTGGCTTATTTCATTTCAGTCTCGAGCCCGCTCTGCGGCCTCCTTTTGGAGCATAACGTCCTCGCAGAAGGAGACAGCGGCTGCCCATCCCTCGCCACTCGCCAGCATTGCCGCGATTAATGCTGGCGGTGACAGGTAATCTGTCCAACCAAGACTCGACGTTCGGACTCCCATGCAGGGCAGTCCTCCAGCGTGTGCTGGGCGGAGTCCCGGTCGGACCCGCAATGGTGGCATTGTGCCGTGGCCTCCCGTCCAATTCGATTCAGATACTCACCGAAGCATCCGTGCCCGGTAAGCATCTGAATCAATCGGTAGGTGACACAGTCGTTCCTCCCTACCCACGCTTCGAAGCTCGGCAGAACGGCTCCGACGGCGCGTTGGCTAGCACAGCCCTGGATTACAAGCCGTGCCTGCCACGTTCGCAGAGCCTGAGTATGCGCGTTCCGCCGTAGCATTCCGGGCTCATGATCCGGCGCGGCCTCTTCACCATTCCGACCGTCAGAACGGACTTGGTCATAGACCATCGCGTCCATGTCGACCAGAATATCGAAGGGTGGATATCGAGCCAGGACCGTCGCCGCCTCAAACTTCCCGTTGACCTAGAACTATGAACTTAGGCAAGTAATATCGTCTTATACTAGTACAGTACAGGGAAAATTTTTAAAACTATACATTTGTAATTTAATCATAAAAATATAGTGTTTATTTAAAGTACGTAATTAATCATCGAGGTACAATTTCACCTATAAAACACAATAATATAAGTGAGGATAGGTTTTGGAAACTGTATTTCGGAGAAAGCTCGAAAATGTACCTACAAATTTGTACGGAACCCTCGGTGGGCGGGTCCGACCCGCACTTGCCCGGTTTTTTTAATGTGGAATTGCTTCTTTTTATTAAAGGCAACAATTTATTTTTTGATAAGGTTTGTGTATGTGACGAAAGACAACGTATTTTTTTTTTAATTAATGATACCAATTTGATTCGAATCGGTTCCAATTAGTTTTTTTTAAGTTGGAATAATAATTTATTATTTTTAACTGACCTCAAATAAAGGAGAAAATTTTAAATTCAGTTGTATTATTTTTATGTCTGTTGCCTCAGAACTCTGTCATTATCGAACCGATTTGGTAAATCATTATTTTATGTAGGAGATTATATTATTCGTCTGATCTCAGATCATCATTATGATAAACAGCCTTTAATAGTACACTGTTGGACATAGGACTCTCCTTAGGAAGGAGGTTTTGGCCTACTATACCACGCTAGCCAGACGGGTTAGTATAGGGTTTGTGTCAAGTTTTCCTTCTCTTTACAGACCATACAGTTTCTTTTTAAAGGAACTTTTAAAGGAAGATTTCACTAGGAATAAATCCTGTGTTACGGGGGACTTTACAAACATACATCACCAATTTGTGAATCACACAAAGTGTCGTCTCTTGTGGGGATCGGACCCACAACACTCAGCGTAGTAGTAAGTGGCGTGTCGACCGCTTAAACCACTACGCCATCCGTACAGTCAATATATTCTTCTTTGACTTTCAGCTCCCATTGGTCGTAGTGAGATGTTAAATAGCCTATAGAGCCTTCCTGTAACTGGGTTATCCAACACTAAAATATTTCTTTTCAGTTTGAATTAGTCGTTCCTGAGATTAACGCGTTCAATCAAAGAAACAAAATCAGCTTTGTAATATTAGTCTAGATTACAATTCATCGTGAAGTAGAAGCATTGTAGTCTGTGCTACTTTTAAAAAACTTAATTATATATTCTTGAATTCTCACGATCGAATAATTATCCAAAAACTATTGTTTCAAAATGCTATTAGGTATTCCATGTTGAGTACAAGATATATTTATCTGCCAGATCAAGAAAAGGCCATAGTATTTTATCACAAGGCTATTGTTTTTAATGGAGTGTTGCATGATATCTGATTGGTATCGAAAATTATATTGGTTTTAATACAAAACAAATCTTAAAGTACCTTGATGTAATAAAAAAGATGACTAACAAAATGTTAAAGGAAATTCATTCTGTTATGAATTTTCAACAAGCTATATAAACAAAACAGTGTTTATTCTTCTCGACAATTCAAACGTATTTAATGTCAACTTGATCAACAGGTCTAGTTTATACGTTTATGACTTTCCCGATAATGGACGTGATTTGGAAACATATGGTCGAATGTGTAATGTGTCAAATTATTATTATAATCATCCGTGTGGTGACGGATTAAGAATACGGAGTGTCACTACCAGTATTCATCACGTGGGTGTCGTAAGAGCCGACTAAGGGAGCAAAAACGCAGGATAACAGCACTGCAAAAAGAAGGAAAACTTGATCAAACTATACCAACCCGTCTGGAAAGCGTGGTATATTAGACTAAAACGTCCTTTCTAAGGAGAGGCCTGTGCTCAGAAGTTGACTATACTTTAACAGTCTACTGCTGGACACAGCCCTAGAAAAGGAGGTTTTGGTCTACTATAGACCACTTCCTTTCCAAGTAGAGGCCTATCAAAGGCTATTGATGTGTGATGTGATGATGATTATTAAAATTATATACTTTTGACAACTTATGCAATATGTTACATAATATTAAAATTATTTTATTTATTATATTATTTATATTATTATATTTTAATTATTTTTCCTCATGTCTGTCTACAGGTAGTTCGAAGATTATATCACAAAATTGTTTGTTGGTTTGCTATGATTACACGCTTTAAATTCTTAAGCGATCATCGTGATATTTCACAAACACGTTTTGAGAGGTACAGTAAAAGATGGGGTACCGGTATCTCTCGGGAACAGTATGTTCTATCAAAACAGAAAACATACTATTCACAAGAGATACCGGAATTGACTAATAAAACCTAAAGCAAAGATGGGGGCTGACACTATTATATCATAAACGTTTTGTTGACAAAAGAGCTACGATAGTCATTGTCACTGCTTGTTGCGCTGACCAAATAGGTTATTTAATGCCTCGTAAATTTATTGCAACAAAATATAGATTTATAAACTGTAAAGTACGCCAATATATTTATATATATACTAGCTAACCCGGCAAACGTCGTTTTGCCATATACATTATTTCTAGGAAATAATAAAAAAACGTTGTCATTCTCAGACCTACCCGATGTGCAGACAAAATTTCATAAAAATCGGTCCAGTCGTTTCGGAGGAGTAAGGTAACTAACATTGTGACACGAGAATTATATATAAGATAATATGATACAAGACTTGTTGCAATAAATTTTTGTGGCTGTATGATTGAGAGACGGTCAAACACACACTTACTTCGATCATCGAACTCCTAATTATTTCGCCACCCACGTGCTATCGAGCGAGCCTTGAACCTTCTTTCTGCTTTGGTTAATATTTATAAATGAAAGTGCAAGAAAAAAATATAATTTTTAATGTTACCTGATTCCTTATGGTGTATACTATATTAAATATCAAAACGACCTCAGAAATAATTATAAAAACTGTCCAAATATTAAAAACGGAACGGAACTGCATATTTTTATTATAACGAAACGTATCTTATATTATTTTTGGAACCCTTAAAACGCGTAGTAATGCAAAATTTAATGCTGACCATTTCAGTAATTAATATACAAACAAAATTAATTCCACATCTACAATATGACTTTTCAATTTATCAAATTATACTTTAATTTAACCAATTGTATATTAATTTGGGAACATGTTAAATGATATAAAACATTTCGAATTATAAATGGTAGAGGAAATTTCATTGAATTTAAGTCAGCGGTATACTGCTACTGACATTATCTGACTCTCGAACTAACATGCTGTGCATTGCATATAAATGTACATCCAGTCATAACAGAGAACAGCCGCTGATTTCTATACGGTGATTTTAAAAGAATACATTCTCAGATATTTATAAAAACGTTTTATTCACTTTCACAAGCCAACTGTGTATTCTGACCAGGAAATAGAAAGTCTACGTGTTGTCGACAAAATTAACATAACGTGAGTGAGTGTATTACTCCAATATGGAAAGTTTCTAATTAATATAAATATATATTTACAATTTAAATTCCATAATAATAATGCATTAAAAAAATTTTAATAACTTTTAATGTCCTAAAACTAAAAATATGATATTTTCTTTCTTAGTACATACCTATATTATCATTATTCTTAATTTATTTATTATACAAATCAGTGCTTCAATTTCTATAGAAAAATATACTTATATGGTATGACGGTTATCACAGTACCCAGAACTGGTCCTACCCAATAGATCCAATGTTCAGTCCAGTCATTGGTCCACACTGCAGGACCCAATGTTCTAGCTGGATTCATGCTCGCACCCGTGAATGGTCCTCCAATTAGTGACAACCCTAAAATCGTCAAGCCAAATTTTATTGGAATAGAATCCTGTTTGTCTTTATTCACTGGATCCCATACAGCACAGTTAACTAGCATGAGAATGGATGTAAGTGCTACTTCAATAAACAAACTTTGGATAACGCTTTGGCCATAAAATGGTTTTGTCACGCATATTGATCCTTCGGATAATTCCATTGAAGTTAATGCATCTAGTATTCCATATCCTAGTATTGCTCCCACGCACTGAACGATTGTGTATGCTATTCCCAACGAGACAGAAGTGCTGCCCCAGATCACAGATGCCAAAGTCACTGCTGGATTCATATAGGCTCCGGACAGGTGGCCAAAAATTTGTATGTTGAACATGACTACCATACCAAATGATAGCGCCGTAATTACAGCAGTTCTTTCCTCTCCAGCCGGTACGCAGCTCAAACAGCCCAATAGAACCAGCATCAAAGTTGAAATAAATTCTGCCAGGATTTTCCGCCATTGTGTACTAAACCAGTTTGAAATTGATGAAGTTTTAGGTTCATTATTACTCGGGACCTTACTTTCGACGACTTCAGAAAGAGTTTGAATGGCAGGCACCGTCATGTTGCTTAATTTTACACACGTCTTCAGATTTTATTACACATTTACCAAATTAAAATATTTGGTCACTAAAATTCACTTAAATATTTCCTTTTTGATTTTAACTATACTTCTCGATGTAATGAAGTGTTCATATTTCACTTTTAGGTGCACATTTTTTCCTGTGAACACGACTGTTTCGTGCTCTGTTCGCGAGTTAATAATATTGATATCTCACACGCAGTCGCACCGGATAATATGATATTAATAACAACATGATTGCTACGGTTATCTCTAGTAATCAGCCCTACAATAAAACAGCCAATTATAGTTGTTTACGTCGACGTAATATGTTTTAACACTCATTATTAAAAATTCATATGCTGCATACGTTATTGTATCGTAAATTTTATATTAAAGCGCATATTGTATATATATATATATATATATATATATAATAATTTTATGAAGTGTAAAACAAGGAAAATAGTTTTTGATTATCATATCTAAATCTCAGTGTACCTTCCTTGTATCCCAAGTTTGGTTATGTTCACCTTGTATCAAAGACCCTTGCAAATTAAATTTGTGACAAATTTAATTAATACAATATGCGCTTTAATATAAAATTTAATATATATATATATATATATATATATATATATATATATATAGATGAATATATATTATGTACGCAAAAATACGCAAAAATAATAAATATAACACGATATTCTTTTTTGCCAGCAATATAGTAAACAAGTATACAGCTTGTCTTTAAGTACTTTTGGAATGCTTAGAGTGACTCTTTCGAACTCCCCGTACTTTGTCTGTCATTATCCTGATAGCTACTCTGACCACAAGACCCAAGCGTCTTTGAGCTACTGAAGCCTGAATCAAATTTCTGAATCGATAAGTGTGGTATCTTTTAACTTAGCTTCCCAGCGTTATCCGTTTTCCCCAATTTACCTGCTTGGAAACGTGCCATAAAACGACTGTATTCCCAAGAAGGGTTATCAACAGGCAGGCGACCGGCCATGGAAAAAAACAGATTAAAAGCAGCCGCTTATGGTTTTCATAATAGTAAATATCGTGCTTGTTGTGGTCCGACAACCTGGTGAAGACCCAAGGAAACCGTTGGATGCGGGCTGTTGTGGTGAACCTTGCTGGAAGTATATGTCCAGTAGCGGACGTCTTTCGGCTGGGATGATAATGATGATGCTGATGCTTGGTTGCAAGGATAAAAGAAAAATTAAGTTAAAGATCGCGTATTTACACGATATGACAAGTTTAATTTATCAGTCTTTTTACGAATTGTCGTAACCGCATTGTAACCACAACTGTTTTTTTTACGGTTCCATTGAATGCAAGAAACAAGTTCTCGCTTACGTTTACCTTATGTGATGTGATGGTGATGTAGGTATATTCCGTGATGACGAATTGTACAAAATTGTGTTACTGTTTGTATGTTCTAAAAATATACAATCGTAATAACATTATTCATAAGTGATAATATAAAAAACATTACTCAAATTACCACATTAACACCTCCATATTACTGGTTGTGAAACAGTTACATTCCAAATTATAATATTATAAAAGCGAATATGACTTTGTTTTATTTTAATGACTTACTTAACAAGTCGTTATGTCGTACACATTCCAATTGGGACAGACAGGAATGTTATCTTTTATCTAGGAAAAAACTGTTCATAAGGAAAAAAAATGCTGTATCTTTAACTTATGTTTACCTTAAATGCAGTTGTATTTTTCTAAAACTGTAAATTTAATACTGACTAATTATTTTTAAAATCTCTTCTACCGTTTACCATCTACGAGTTTAAACTTAATTAATGTCTTACTAAAATCGTTTGAAATTAACTTTAAAATTTATTTTCGTGTTAATTTTAAAGCACATGACCTCACATACCTGACGATTTATTCGCTTTCTCTTGCGTTAAGGAAAAGTGCTCCGTAATATGCGAAATAATTTTGCAAAACCAAATTCTTCTAGACCTATTTTATGTTACCATTCCAGATATTCTATTACCCTGTGTAGGCGTATTTCAAGATAGCTATGATCTTGGTCATAGTTACATGATAACTTTGATGTGCATCTATCTATTAACGGGCCTGTTGGTCTAGTGGTTATTAAACCCTGACTGCCAAACCGGAGGTTGTGGGTTCGATTTCCACCCAGGACAAGTATTGTGTGATGAGCACGGTCATTTGTTCTGTGTCTGGGTGTAATTTATCCCAGGGGTGTGAGGGGCGAACCACCATCTTTCGCCCCAAGCCAACCTCACCTGCCCGCGGTGCATCCTGCTGAACGACGAACGAGGCTCTGGCGACCGACCGATGGCGGTATATCCATCCCAATAGGCGTAGCTAAATACAACAGGCCGGTGACGGGCAGCAGCGTTACCGGTGCGACAAGCTACGCCCTGCGATCGCCAACCCGCCTGCCCAGCGTGGCGATTATGGGCAAACCCCTCCCATGCAGATGCAACAAAGGCCACGGCCCCCAGTTCCCGGCGGCCCCGCTATTCCTGGTCATGGTGGCGACCACGGTAAAGGCGGGGCAGGGGGTGCGAAGAATCTCCGGGCTACGGGAGGCCACCACAACCGACTGACCCTGGCTACGTATAACGGACGCACGCTACGGCTAGACTCGCATCTGGCGCAACTTGAGGTGGAACTTGGGAAGATTAGGTGGCATATCCTAGGGCTATGTGAAGTCCGAAGAGAGGGGGAGGACACCATAACCCTCGAGTCAGGACACCTAATGTACTTCCGCGAGGGAGACCAACAATCCCAAGGTGGGGTTGGGTTTCTGGTAAATAAGTCCCTATCTGACAACGTTGTGGAAATTTCCAGTGTGTCGAACAGGGTAGCGTACCTCATTATCAAGCTCACCGAGAGGTATAGCCTCAAGGTTGTGCAAGTGTACGCACCGACCTCGGCACATTCGGACGACGAGGTGGAGGATATGTACGATGACATATCGAGGGCCCTCCACTTCACAACTAAGACCCACTACAACGTTGTTATGGGTGACTTCAACGCTAAAGTGGGAGTACAGAATTGCGGCGAATCGGTAGTAGGATCCCATGGATTTGGAAGCAGGAATCATAGGGGGCAAATGCTGGTCAACTTCCTCGAACGGGAGGGGCTGTTTTTGATGAATTCTTTCTTCAAGAAACAGCCCCAAAGGAAGTGGACGTGGCAAAGCCCCGACGCTATGACCAGAAATGAGATCGATTTCATCATGACGGATAGAAAGCACATATTCAGAGACGTCTCAGTGATCAATAGGTTTAATACCGGTAGTGATCACCGACTTGTCCGGGGCTCTCTGAATATCAACTTTAAGGCGGAACGTGTCTGTTTGATGAAATCCAGGCTCCGACCAACTCGGCTCCAAGCCATGACAGGATCTGAAACGTTCCAGTCAAAACTGGAAAACCGATTCGCTGCCGTGGAAACCACAATCGACGTAAACCAGAACCTCAAAAATGTGGTTCAGATCCTCAGGGAAGAAGGTATGAGATTTTGTGAAATGCAGCGTAAGGGCAGGAAGTCGAAGCTTTCAGAAAGGACCCTAGGGCTGATGAAGAAACGACGTGAAAACCCACCTGTCACTTTGTCGGCAAAGCGGACTCTAAACCGAGAGATCAGTAAACTCGTACGACACGACCTCCGGTGCTCCAATACTCTTTCAATTGAAAGAGCGATCGAGCAGAATCGGGGGTCAAAAGTGTTCGTACAATCTCTTGGAAGAAGCCACCTGACAAAGTTGACTACAGAAAGTGGAGAAGTCGTTGCTTCGAAGCCGGCAGTCCTTTTGGAAGTGGAAAGCTTCTATGGCCGGTTATACGCTTCGCATGCATCTCGACCTGATCCCGAAAAATGAGGACTCTAGAGCCACATTAACACGTCACTACACCGAAGACCTGCCAGAAGTTAGCATTGACGAAATCGAGATGGCTCTTGGACAGCTGAAAAATGGAAAAGCCCCTGGAGAGGATGGCGTTACAACAGAGCTGCTGAAGGCCGGGGGTAAACCCGTACTAAGGGAGCTCCAAAAGCTCTTCAACGCTGTCCTGTTTGAAGGGAGAACTCCAGAAGCGTGGAGTAGGAGTGTGGTCGTCTTGTTCTTCAAAAAGGGTGACAAGACCAGGTTGAAGAACTATCGACCCATATCCCTTCTAAGCCACGTCTACAAGCTGTTTTCGAGAGTCATCACGAACCGTCTTGCGCGAAGACTCGACGAATTCCAACCACCGGAGCAAGCTGGGTTTCGGAGCGGATATGGCACCATAGACCACATCCACACAGTGCGGCAGATTATACAGAAGACCGAAGAATATAATCAGCCCCTGTGTCTAGCATTCGTGGACTATGAGAAAGCCTTTGACTCGATCGAGATCTGGTCTGTTCTGGAGTCCCTGCAGCGTTGCCAAGTAGATTGGCGATACATCCAAGTGATGAAATGTCTCTACGAAGCCGCCACCATGTCCGTCCAAGTACAGAATCAGCAAACAAGGCCCGTACCATTGCATCGAGGAGTGAGACAAGGGGACGTTATTTCCCCGAAATTGTTCACAAATGCAATGGAGGACATGTTCAAGACGCTGCACTGGAAAGGGCGTGGCATCAATATCAATGGCGAATACATCTCTCACTTGCGATTTGCAGATGACATCGTCATCATGGCAGAGGACGTTGCAGGACCTACAGCAAATGCTGAATGACTTAGCTGACACTTCTGTACGCATCGGCCTACGGATGAACTTGGATAAAACCAAGGTCATGTTCAACGAACATGTACTACCGGAACCGATTGCGGTACACGGTGCCGTTCTCGAAGTTGTTCAAAATTATGTGTACCTCGGGCAGACATTGCAGTTAGGTAGAAACAACTTCGAGGACGAGGTGAACAGAAGAATTCGGTTGGGTTGGGCAGCGTTTGGGAAGCTACGTCGAGTCTTCTCATCGTCGATCCCACAGTGCCTTAAGACGAAAGTCTT